TTTTTCTTATACATAGTTTAGTAGCCTACTATTCTTTTTTGCCAGAATTGATCATTAATCAACTTAATTATTTCCTGGATTTTGTATCACCATAGTCCCTAAATGTATGTACATGCAGGAAATGGGATTCAAATCGAAAACATTTTCCCCCATTTTGTGTCCCCCCCACTTCTCAAACCAAAGTTACACCCTTGCGTATGACAACTTATTGTCAGATGGCAGCCACAATTACTCATAATAAAATACATACACAGGATAGGTGAGTCAGTGTGTGTTGATTTTTTTTGTTTTGTTTTTTTGTTACGGAGTTTTACTTGAAGGCAGTAGAATGAAATATCAAAGTTGGCTTACTTCCAACCTTATTTATAATAATAAGATAACTGAAGTCAGCCAAAGATGAAACTTAAGCTGTAAAACTTGCAATGTTTCTTTAGCATAGGAACACCAATTGTGTGCTTAAGAATATTTGTTAGATTTATATTGTTCTTATGTTTGACCTTTACAATGTCTAGGATCTCTTTGAGTTTTTTTTGTGATTGTTTAGTGGCTGTGTAGACGTGATCAGTCTGGCTCTCAGGTTCCGCTCCACTTCTCTCACCTCTAACAATAACAAATTATGACGTTGCAACATCACAGATCTCAAGATCCGGCAGAATAAAGAATACAGAATCCTGAAAGCTTGTCTTAAAATACGCCTTTTTTCAGCCTAACATCCAATTGTCTTTACATTTGCTCATTAATCAGGGATCAGGTGTCAGAGCCGACTAGAACACTAAATATAGAACACATCAAACAGAGAATTACTTGTTTGTGAATCAGATCAACCTTTATTTAAGTTCGTTGTTCAATGGCACAAGGACCAAACAGGATTTCGAACATGTGCCAAGTTCTTAGTGTTACTTTAATAGGTTTAAAAACCATTCTATTTTAGAAAAAGTTTGTTTATTTCAATTAAATATTTCAAGTACAAATTCAAATTATTATTATTTCAAATGTGACATTAATTCATAAAATTCATTGTTTTCGGTGACAAAATATTTTACTTTGATTTGGCGGACAATTTTTTTTATTAATAAGCAGTGTAGCAGTTTTGTTAAAAATGTTTCAAGAATTTTATTTTTAAAGAGGCTTTTTTATATTATGATATGAAGAAGTCATTATGAATTGCATTTTTATGTATTTTGATTAATACATAATTTTATTCACTTCAGTATTATTTTCACAAGAAAGGTGTTCATTTTCAAATTTGTAAGTACAAAAACCAAAACTGTTCACACTTGTAGCACATCTCATTCTTTCTAAACCTGATTTCATACTTTCATTACAGCCACACATATTTTCTTTCCTCATAATCATTGTTTCAAAACACAGATCAATGTAATACGTAACCAGGACATTTGATTTAATCACCAGAATACAACAGTATGATTCTTTCTGTTTAACATTCAGTTATTTAACTAGCAAATAATGCAAGACACGTTTCAAATCACCCTTTAGTACAGGCTATGGTTAAATTAAATGAAATTAAATTTACTGGTATTACTATATTTGTGGGGACATTTGGTCCCCATGACGTAAGGAATACCAGGATGACACACACATACTCACACTTTGTGAACACGTTGGTTTTAAACTGAAACAAATCACTTATACTGTAATTATCTTATTATATTTAATTATTCATTTTGAAAATGGCAAGAAATCTATAGACATACTGAACCAAATAATACACAGATTAACAATTAAGATCATCTGGATTAAATTATAGACAAATTTGACTGATGTTACACATATTCAACTGAACAAGGAGATATGCAAATGAAAGGACTAATAGTATTAGCATTATGAAAGGCAGTCACTGAAAAAAAATCATACTGATGAAACATTTTGTGTAGTGAAAAGGATATATGTAATTTGTGTTTTATATAACATAATTTAAAATATGCTGAAATGTTTGGGGGAAAAAAGTGCATTTTTATGATCTGTTGTGAGATTGTTTAGAAAATGTACTCTTGCTTGTGAAAATCACTCCAAAGCAATCAAAAAACTGTAAATACAAAAACAAACATAGTCATTTACCTGCATATAGCAGCACAATAGTGTGATAAAGCACCAGTAATACAGTATTCATTCAAACCTGAATTTTAAATCTTACTTCCAAAATGCATCAAAACTGCAAAAATTTGCATATCTCAAAACAAGCTTATATCATATACATCAAAAACACTTTGTCACTCATAAAACAGTGACTTTAAACGTAGCATTGCAAGGTGCATTTTTTGTTTTTACATTAAGTGTTTGGATTATGTGCCAAACCCAACTTCTTTTACTACATAGGGCAGGTTTTACATATTGGCCAAGGGCCGGTGAACAGAAGGCTGCTGGGTAAAGGAATGACAATCACCATCATGGCCTTGAGCAAGGCACCTATAGCTCAGATTGCTGCAGAGGGGTTTTTATGTCAAGAATACTGTTAATCGCTTTGGATAAAAGCATTTGCTAAATGACTACTTGCTTAGTAACTAGCATGAATGGCATCCTTTTATTGTGTAGGATCCACTGCAGGATGTTACAAGAATAATTCAGTTTAATGTAGAAGTAAACACACACCAGATCCAGAGAAGAATGTCTTAGTAGGCTACAGTATATAACCACACAACTACAAATGGTAATCATTGTAACAGCAGGTACCAACAAAATATTAAACTTCTCTGCATTCAGTTATTTGTAGTTCTTATAAAAAATAAATCAGAAATGTTCTATTGTACAGAGTAATTTCAAAATATTAAGGCTGAGAACCTACAAAACTCCTTAATCCAGTTCAGAAGAACTTTTCTAAGCCATATGTACTGTACAAACACATGCCAATATGGTACATATGCGATGACGCAGTTGCAATGACACGAAGGAATTTCACAGGAATTTCAAAATAGCAAGTCATCATGTGGAAAAAGTCCCTTAAACAGCAGGAACATCAAGATAATATACTGTACAAGGATGTAAAATAAACACAGTAAAACATTACAAACATATTATTAAGACTGCGCGTATGTAACATCACACAGTGTAATCATGTACCAGGTAAACATAGTCGAGTGTACATACCGGTAACTACTTGAGGAAAGGTTAGAGATTTGTTAAGCAATGTTTATACTAGTTGGGATCTTAAGATTGAAATGTCATATTGTGTTTTGTG